ATCTATTCGCAAACCCACAGTTAAAAATCCTGTTGCTACTAATAATGTATAAATCGCAAGGTGTACTTTTAATTTTTATTTTTTTTTGACGACAGAAATCTGACACCGTCATCTGTGTTGTGACGACAGAAATCCGACACCGTCGTGTCATAAAAATTGGATCACGACACCTGTGTCATAAAAAATGGATCACGACACATACATAACCTAGACTAAGTGGAAATAACATAATTATGTTATTTCCACTAGGCATAAACTCTACAGTTTATTATGGAAGTAGAAACGAACAATTCTGTTATTAGTTAGATGCACCCAAAGTTAATGTATCACCGCCAACAGCAATAGTAAATCTACGGTGTGGGACAAAAAATCTTGCTCTCAATAACTTTACAATGAGCAAGTAAATTGGGACTCAAAATACATCGTTTAAAATCGTAAAACGCACAGATTTTATTTATAAAAATTAATAAGGAATCCATCATTACTTTCAATAATCGCCTTACAACGTCTTTTCATCGAGTTTACCAAATTTTTTACAATTGAATCCGGAATTATCCCACTCTTTTATCATAAACGCCTTGATTTGTCAAGATTTTTTGGTCTTCGCCTTTCTACATTAGTTTTGACTATACACATAGATTTTCTATTGGATTAATATCAGGACTATTCGACGGCCAGTTAGGGCATATTGGCCTGAAGAAATTGTTTAGCGACAGAGCTCGTATGCTTTAGATCGCTGTCTTGTTGGAAGCGCCAGACTTTTCGAGCATGCGTCGTATTTTGGTAAGTGCCTCTGAAGTATTTCAACGTAAACCGGCCCTGTCATTATTTACTTCAAATACGTCGAACATCACACGATTAAACCACATAACTATCGAGGGCAAGATTTTTTACCCCACACTGTATATATTAACTAATATTATGAAGTTATGTTCAACACGAGTAGTTTCGGTATGAGGCCGTATATTTTTACCGACAGAAAAGATGATATAAAAGCACAATCAATTTTTTAGATGGCATTACTTGTAACAACCTTTCTGATTCATTGACCATAATTTTCTTGTAATTTACAATATTTTAAACATTAAATATAAAATTGGTAAACATAACCATGAATACGACTTTATTGCAGTCTGACCTATAGTTATTAACCAAAGTCAAAAAAACACACATGCCCCTCCAGAAGGCAAAGACGTTTTGTGAGTATTACATAAAACTTCCAGTACGTGTATGCGAATAGTAGGTATAGTTGCCTGTTTACGTCAAATAAAATATGCAGAGTCACTGTAGAATAATATCTAAAGATTAATAAAATCCGAGTACTAATATGGAATGAGTTTACTAATACAGATCACGTACATACATCGAAAGTTGATTGTTGATATTTTCAGGTCGTAATACTTGCTGTAGATACTCATTATTTAATTTTTCAACCGATGACAAGAGCAGGCTCAGTGTTAGAATCGTGAGATATGAGATGACGCATATAAAACGACATTTTGTCAGCATTAACCAGAAACGAACCGCTTAGTGTTAACAGTAGAGCGCAATAACAAGACAGGATACATGAACATTGTAAAGTCAAAGCATACTTTGACACAGCGGTTGGTGATGATTGATAATTACGGGATCCTAAATTGCTTTTGGCGCAACGTTAATAATATTTGCTATTTAATAGTATAATTAATTCGGAAATTAAAGAGGCACAGTAAGAAAATGCTAACGCTAATTATACCTGGGTTCGGAAAATAATATTAACGTCATTTATATAAAAGTGGAAAACCGAGGGTGTAACACAAAAATCGTCAGTTTGACTGAAATGACAAGCTTGGTAAAGTAAAAACGTTGACAGATGAACTGTGGGGGGAGGGGAGGAATTGTCGATTGACATGTTCGCATGGAAAGGGAATATCCTATTATTAATAATAAGAGATTCCTGAATACCGACCGAGCTTGCTGACAACTACGAAACTGGGAGAACCATGGCCAGACCAAAACAAGACGGATAGAAATACGAGCTATCTATATATGTATGCCAATACTCGAATAAAATTGTCTTTAAATTAATACGACTGTTTAAAATGCCTTATGTAACTTGTAGATTGTGGGTTTACGTCGCACATTTCTATTATTCCAATTACACTTGTAACCCTTTCTTCTCCATTGTTCATTCCTTCTTCTGAATCAGTTTATGTTTCTGATTTTTCAGGCAGGAAAGATGTCGATCACACATTCCGATGGCATAAACAAGTAAGAAGATATGTAAGTTCGCACTCTTTGTCTTACATGCAGAATGCATTATAAATTGTATATTTGACGTTGTACTTAATACCGAACATAATTTATTTAATTTATTAGCATTATTATTATTAATATCACGCCTGCTATCATAAAATAGCTTGGCATATCACACATATATTTCATATATCACCTTGCAAGACAAGTTAAAACCATTCTATTATCGTCATCATCCCAAGTAATATTTACATGCATGCATATGAATTGTCTGATAGGCTTATACACATACATATACAGCTGTTCGTTACACGCAAAGAGTATACTTGTTATAAGCTCACATAGTATATATGTACTTTTACTCACGTACATAACCAAGACACTCTCACATTCTTTACATTCTCACATGTCACAAATCGTCCGTCTTATTGACAATTAGGGTTCACTCCCATACACCACCCATACACCACCCACACACCACCCATACACCATACAGATTTCAATCAGCCACCCACCCCCCCCCCCCCCCCAGACCTACACTCCGCACCCACCGTCACACGTCTCATATATAAGCATCAACTTACCCGACCTTGTAATAAACAAGAGTTAGAATCGTACACATTACTTCTCTGCCGCCCGAAGGTGTCTTAGAGAAGAGGCATACCCATTCCTTTTACCCCTCCCCTCTATTCCACACTCCCACACACACGACTCAAGTGGGCTTCTCTCTATCGAGAAGCTAACGGCATCGCTCTTTATTACAAGTCTTATAAATAAATACTTCTCTAACTGTGTGTATCTCGACGACGCTTTCATACTAAACAAGAGGAGAAAATGACTGGTAGACTCGTGTGTGGTGGAAACTACGAAGTGATAGAGCGGATAGGTGAGGGGTCTTTTGGTGAGGTATTCAAGGGTAAGTATTTCCTTCGTAAAACTGCTTGATAACACAATTGTCACACAGTAATGGCTAGCGAGTCGAGAATTGCTTTTGTTCATTCCATTCAACAACCAGATAGCATACACTGTACTCGTATTCAAAATACTATTAGGCAAACTACTAGTGACTACAGAACCAGAAAAGCCGAGATGTTTTCAATTAGCTCCTATAGTCAATTCATAAAAATACAAGACCAATTAAACTTAGAATGTATTATATAGTACATGAATTCATCTCATGAAATCCGAGAGCTTTTGAATCATCAATTGTTGGCAAAATATTTGACTGGCAATGATGTCAATTGCGAAGAGAACACTCGTACTTATTCTTGACATTCATTCATACAGTCATACTTACCCTTTTTTGTTTCTTCTCTTCTCTCACCTGTCTTGCACTTTAGCTGCTCACAAAGTAACTGGCGTCCAGTACGCCATAAAGCGAGAATTGGATGACCCTCTTTATGTGCCTCAGTTGGAACACGAAGTCTCTGTGATTCGGCGTCTCGAAGGCAACGGTTAGTATAAATAATATTTATATTGTATGGAGTAACCGAATTGGATGTATTTTTCTGTAATAAACAGCAGCATTATTCCCACAACTGTTTCTTTCAAGTCAATATATAACAACTCAATTCCATTCTTAAGAACGTCCAAAAAGAAGGAAAAAAAAACAACAAAAAAACTCACTGACCAATTTTATCATCATTCACCAGACTTTGCCCCAAGATGCCATTGGTACGGCGTAGAAGGTGACTACCATGCTGCAGTGCTTGATTTACTAGGCCCAAACTTGAAGAGTGTTAAGATGACTTTTCATCATCTCCCTCATCGCTTTGTAATCGATCTGGCTCTTCAGATGGTAATGCATTAAAATATTCAAATAATATGCAATTCGTTTCAAGCATTCTCACACAAGTTATTACTGTATCCATAGATTGAAATCATAGAAACAGTTCACTCGTATGGCATAGTGTATCGGGACATAAAACCTGATAATTTCCTTCTAGAACCAACTTTCTCTCTTCCAAAGCGGCAAATAAATGCTGAAGCTTCTGACGACGAAGATGCGTTTCTCAAAGACGTCCCAGACTGCTCTTACCTTTTCAAATCGGGCCATAAAGTATACCTAGTAGATTATGGTCTGACTGACGATTGGCGAGACAAGGAGACTGGCAAGCATAGACCAATAGGGCATACTCCGCACAAGGCAGGCACTGCAAGATACTCTAGTCTCAACATACACCGGGGATTCATACATTCTCGTCGTGATGATATAGAAGCGTTGGGATATGTATTCGTGGATCTGATGAAATTCAAATTACCATGGACAGGAATACAGGCTAGAACTTCAAAAGAAGGCTGGGCAAAGATGCTGGAAATGAAAACTGGCACTTCACTTGAAGAACTGTGTGAAGGATGTCCACGTGCTTTTATGAATTACATCGAGTATGCGCGAAGCCTCCGCTACGACGAAGAACCAAACTATTCTTACTTGCGCAAGCTGATCTCATCTGCGTATGGCAATGGTCCAGAAGCTGAACTTATCATCCTTTCCGACATCCCCCCCGGTTTACGATCTCGTTCGTTATCTCCAATCCATGGTTCTCCCAGCCCAACTAAACCACGCTTTGCTCGAGCACCCGAAGACTATCGTCTCCTTTCGCCTCCGCCCTCACCTGGCTCCAAGCGTGGCAACCAGTTCCGTCCTCGATTTGTGTATGACAAGTGTGCAGATGGGTCTAGGTCTCGATCTAATTCTATGACTATCACGCCTACCGGTATACTGCCACCGAGGTCAAAAGCATTGTCTCCACAGAGAACGTATTCATTACCATATAGCGAGTCTGGAAATGTAGATGCATTCCCAACGAACGGTAACCATCCGAACGGACGCGAGAATGAACGTCGCACGAAACGGCCCGACGCTTATGTACCACCACACAGAGAGCATAACAATAGACAAGCTGGATTGAATATTGTATGGCGGAAGAAAGATGTAGTAAAGTGGGAGGATATATGCGAGAAAGCAGCAGCTGATTGGCGAGGTGGACATTCTCACGGTGACAAACCTAATAAAGCGAGGAAACCTCTGCATATGGGTAGAGCTAATGGATCGTTTGCCGATGGTTTGATCAATAGAAAGGGTGTGTTAAAGCGGGAGAATATAAGCGAGGAAGCCAATGCTAAACGGAAGGATGAACACGCTGGAAAAGTGGATAAATTTGACCACGTTAACCGAGATAATAACGAAACCACTAATAGCAGCATCCGCATTCAAGAGAGAGGCCCACGAACTCCATTGCCCGGCCACCTTTATGAACATCATGATCCGTTCAAAGGCTTTGATGGTGAACAGGGGTCGAACGGATGGATAAATGATGTAGAAGATGAAGGCCAGCTGCTGGAAGAGGTTGCAACTTGGGGTAATGGCAAAGTGAAAATTCCCTGGATAGATTCTCGAAATCCCCACCATCGGTTTGATCATCCTCAGCATGCAGAATCTCAAAAATTCCACACGATGCCATCTGGAAACAGAGAATTCTTCTCTCGCCGGCCGTCTGTTCCCTCTCCATTGTCTATTCCACCGGCGACTTCGAATCAAGCTGTTCAATCAGCCCGGGATTATTCTTCAGCGCGAGGAGGGAACTCTGAAGAGAACCAAACTCTGACACCTCGTCGCAGCTCCCCAAACATCCGTGAGGCATCATTGGCTGCAAGACTTTTCAAACGCAGTGTTCCAAACCTTCGCGAAGCTGTCTCGAAAACGGCGGTCATTCCACCACCATCGGCAACCATCCAACGTACAATGGCTCATCGACAAGAATTCACCCCACAGTCTCTACCGTTACCGCAGAGTGCTAAAAGGATCTCACCACCTAATAGTTATAATTCTCGACCTCACGGTGGAAGAGAATTATCGCCCGTAAACGATCAGAAGGGCACGGCGAATTGTGAAACGAGATATTCGCCGCAGGACGCTAGGTATACGCCGCAGGATGCGCGATACAGCTCTCAGGACGTACGAAATCCGTTCCAAAGTCTGCGTTACACACAAGATGCACGACATTCGAACGGGAACTATTATGGGCATAATAGAGATAATCGCAGACGTGACAGAGCATATACAATAGGTCACGCAATGTCGGGAAAGAAATCATCTCATCCACAAATACCGAATTTCAACCCTAGCCCTTCTTTACCTGCGCAAGTCCCACCTCAACCAGTACGGCGTCAAAGTCATCAGTTTACGAGAGAACGATCACACACGTTTACTTCATTTACCGAAAAGATAAATCAGTTAAACAATCGAGTTAACCCGACCACGCCAACCACACCGAAAACACCTAAAGCAAGTCCTGCGGTCATGACGCAACATGTTCACTTGCAAACACGAGAAAGATCAAACACGTTCACATCATCTCGTGGAACAGAATTTTCTCGTACTGGACGGCATCGCCCTCCGCCGTTACAGCATATTCAATCCAATTACACGCGAAACGGGGGATAATCATAATGGCTACTGACTGTGTGACAGTGTCTTCTTTTTTGTTAACAGTCGAGGCGGTTACTCTGTTATTAGCTTTGTGAATCGTTGATATTTTTTATCATTCGACCTCATTGCGTATGTCCTTTATATAAACTCCAATCACGTATATATATTATACTCAAATTTACGTTTTTATTTCTTCATGAGGGATAGTTGACGAAGGAACAAAGCAGGCCTACACTTTTCCCCTTTGTATTATAAAACCCCCTCTATATATATTTTACTCTTGATATTGCTTCTTTGTATTTTTGTTTCTTAATTACCCATGCACAAAGTTCCTTCGATTGTGAAAAAAAAAAAGTAAAATAGTCCCTCGTAAAAGTAGTTGTTTCTGTACAGTAGAAAATTTTACCTTTTTGCCGGGTATGCGATGACATTTGTCTTATTTCTTTAATTAGGAACGAACAATTTATTTTGCAGATATATTTCTCTTGTCCTGTTTCGTAAATTTTACAGAATAAACATTAATCATTGAATATCCATGACATTAACGTGCCAATCGGGAGCAATGTTTGTTGATTTGTGGATAATTGAGAGGTTACAATAGTGCGTGAATTGGGTTGAACAAGAATCTGTGTTCAAGTGCTTAATGGTGCTTGTAACAAACATTAATGTACTAGATTTTACAAATTGCGTAGTATATTTCTGTACACAGTAGATTCTTGTATCTTGGCTCTCACTCCTTTATAGGGCGTACCAATCAGATCGCTAATTGTCACAGTGAGAATGTGCTTCTTAAAATGAGATCTATAAATCTGGCAAGTTTACAATATAATAGGTTCGCTAATTTGTTGATGTTTTGCAAGGAAATTTTAAAGTATAATTTGTCTCTCATCACATATAATGTTACGCAAGGCAAGGCGACGACCTTTCCCCACCCCCTCCTTAGTTCCCCTCCTTAGTTAGTAACCCCATTTACTGTACATTATACACGTCGACAAAACGACTATTTCTCCAAGAGTGCAAAAAGAGTAAATGAGAATCCTCTAAAGATATGTCTTGTCATTCATTCTGTGATAGCTGTTAGGATATTTTAAACCGTTTCCGTTACAAAACGGTTTGCAAGGTAAAGTCTTGCCTTGTATTTATATTGTGCCGCTCTTAATTCTAACCACGAGATGGTAATCGTTTCGCTTTCGTTGGTTGTTTTTTTCCCCCCTTTTTGTAGCTTGGTTTCTAATAGCTTAAGCTTTGGTTGATTTCGAAGCTCCAAAGGTACTTTTCTCATTTGATAAATGCGTGTCATACTGACGGGGGGTTTGTCTATTGTCACTCTAATCACCTGGTGCACACACACACCCCCCGAAAAAACTTGGGGCTTTTTTTTGGGTTTTTTTTAAAACCATATAACGTTACACATAGAAGTTCTATCGTTACACTCATAGTATTGGATGCACGAATTTTCTGAATTTGAAACTGGTTGAGAAATAAACTTTCATTTCCGTTGTCATCCCAAAATAATTGACTGGTCACCGTCAAAAATCACAAATCGAGCATATTTAGTAAGACCCATTTACATTCTCAACGTGTTCTTAGAATCGCCACAAGAATTCTGTGTCACGATCAAAAAAACCAAAAGCGGAAAACTTGTTATGATGAAACGCCCACTCACAAGTCAGTCTTTTGATTAGATATTTTCAATCGCACTTTTGGTAATGTGAGTGTGATTGCATTTTTGTACCCTGGTCATAACCTACTAAAAGAAAATCCCTCCCCCTCTTGTCGAACATTACGCCAAATCAAACTTTATTGACGTATATTTACCTCATCACAAAGTCATAAGACTCTATACATTATTTTAGTTTGAGGGTCTCGGAATGGGGAACTTTTATTGGTAAATTGACCGTAACTGCAGCCCCTAATGTCCATATACGGTTTAGATCTTGCGAATCGTCTTCGTGTTCCCCGCATAACGATTCGCATCGTTCTAACTAATAAAAGAACGCAGATATTTTCACGAGACAAAAGTGTTTTAGGCAATTTCCTCTTTGGCACATGCGCGCAACAATGATGATGCAATGGATTACGCATTATCGGAACATGTCTATAACTTGATAACCCTCTACTTTAACAACCATTGACTTGGAAACGCGTACGGTGAGCCTGGTAACAAGTACGGTATATCATGCTATATAATAAATCCATTATAAGTTACGCTAACTGCCCGCATTTCATAATATCGAATTGAACAAAATCAAATGTGTAGTCATGTGTGTGCAGAAGACAAACAGGAAATCAAAAATCGGCTACAAATTGATATAACATTATAATGCGCTCAAGTGCTTGGCTTGAAAGGTCAAATCCTGCCTCTGCCTTTGAGACACATGATGAATATCCCATCTACATCTCTCACCTGCCTCAACAAGAAGCCACTTTATATTACAGTCGTCCCTCATTTGTATCCCCTTCATTTATATCCCGCCCTCGGATATAACCCAGTCTTGATGCTGGACGGATTTCCCCTATTGTATCTCTGTATAAATTTTCCTCAGATGTATCCCACTCAGATATATCCCTATCCCCGAAATTCCAATATCCCAATTTCCCATTTATTATGATCATGGGACTCGTTTTTTTTTTTTTTTTATAATTTAGAACTTTATTGCCTAACTACAGATAAACTGCTAAAGCTAGTTCTAACATATGTGAAACATATAGAGGTACAATAAAGAGCTTGGCTATAAAGCCTGGGATGAAAATTTGGGTATGATTACTAATTATGATA